AGTTTGAGGTTGCTGTGAGCTGTGACATCACAGCACTCTACCGAGGGCAACAAAGTGAGACTGTCTCAAAAAAAAAAAAAAAAGAAAGAAAGAAAGAGAAAAAAGGAAATATCAAGTTCATTTCCTTTATTACTGAGGAGTATTCCATTGTCTGAATATATCAGAGTTTCTTTATACATTCACCAGTTCAAGGACAACTAGGTTTTTTCCCTTTTGAGGTTACTGTGAATAATGCGGCTAAGCATAGATAAACGTTTGTATAAAAGTCTTCCCATGCATTTATGCTTCCATTTATCTCACATAGATCCCTAAGAGGGGAATAGCTAAGTCATATGGCCAGGGTGTACCTAACTTTTTCATAAATTGTCAAACTGTTTTTGACAGTGACTGCACCATTTCACGTCTCTGCCAGCAGCGTTTGAAGGCTCCAGCGTCCCCACAGCTCCCAAGGCTTGGTATTGTCCATTTGTTTTAATCACAGCCATTCCGGTAGGTGCAGAGTGGATTTTCACCATTTGCGTTCCTGATAACTTTTTACTTGCTTATTTGCCGTTTGTATACTTTCTTTGGTGACGTACTTATTCAAATCTCCTGCCCAATTCTTTTTGGGGGAAGTGGTCTTATTTTGATTTTTGATAGCTCTGCTCAACTACAGCTGTGACAGAGTAGCTTCACGTCAAAAGTTTGAAGGTGCAGAAGTGATGGGGCCAAAATGAATAAGGACACCCTGAGTAATGCCCATGGGACACATCAGCTCATAAGACTCTCTCTTTCCTTTATAGACTTCCTTAGTCAAAGGCCAATGACATAAGACTATCAATTGTCCTGAGGAGGGAAGCAAAGCCTATGGCTCTGCCAACAAAAGAAGATAGTACCAGCCCAGGTCGCTCATAAAGACCATTCCTTCTTACAATCTCTCCATTGGTAATCAGTGGTCAGTGCCTGAAGGGGGGACGAAAGCAGAACAATTCTGATCATCCATATGGGCTGCCCTATTATTCGAGCTCTTATATTTCCCAAACTCCATGAGGCCTAGGAAGGGCTTGCCAGTGTATTAAGATTAAACGGGAGTGCCTTTAGTCACTGTCCCTTTGTCCTGTGCACTGCCCTACATCTGTGTCTGTATACAATTCCTTGGTTACCTGTGTGAAGATATGTTCCACATCTTCAATCAATTGACTGCGGTTATAACCATAGCCATCTTCCCCCTCCGCGTCATAATCTGCTCTCCAATAATCCCCATAGTCCTCGTAATCTAGTTTTTAAAAAGAGAAGAACATAAGGGAAAGAAAGAAAGCCCCAGTATACATAGATCAGCCTTGCTAGGAAGTTAGAAAAAATACAAAGGCTTATGACATTTTTCTTGTGATAAACAGAAACTCGAAGGGATGCGAATGAATGATAACACTAGATAATGGCTGTTAAGCACTCGCTCTGTGCCAGTTTAAATGTCTTATTTCATTTAACCAATACAAACCTATACAAGATTGTCATTCTTATAACCCCACTCTGCAGAGTAACAGCCTATCCATATTTTAAAACTAAATTGTATAATGTATATTTAAGGTATACAACATGATGCTATGAGATGCCTATAGAGTGAAATGGTAACCATGGTGAAGCAAATTAACATATGCATCAA